CGCCCGGGATAAGGGAAGGATTGCCTTCATATGTCGGAAAGTTCTGCACGGACGGATCGCCGAGCTGAGGGAGTTGTGATTCGGAGGTGCTAAGTGGTTAGATCTGGATAAATCTCCGTTCGAGAATCGGAGAGCGGACAGAGCAACAGTGAGCCCCTTCAACGTGAGTTCCAACATGCGAAACACGTCTCTCTCTGAGCTCTTGATTGATAGGTAAGCTCTCGAATGATACGGAAATTATGAAAATATGAAAATCTCATCGCGGAGAATTGCCCCGGCCGAATAGCGTGATGCTCACTCCTAGAGAAGTCGCCCACCTGTTGAAAATTCGCATCTCGAATTCCTTATGACTTCCGAGAGATCCTTCAGTCATTGAAATCCCAAAACGGAGGAATATGCTCAAGTTTCCTTGGTCGAGGGTTGGAATTCATTAGCCGTTGCGTACTGTGGTAGCCGTTTCCCCGCTGTGCCTCATCATCGTTTCCGGCGGATTGCTCGCGACTCTGTCCGTCGACACTCCGATTTTCATTTATCTTAAAAATCAGTCCAAATCCGGATCTGGTTTTATATTGAGCCGGCGACCGGAGAAGCAACGACGGCCGAAAATCGAGCAGTGGACGGTTGGCTGGCCTCGGGGCTTGTCTCCACTGGCTCTTGTGTCCGCACGGATCCTCTCTTTGTTGCCGAACAAGGAAATTCTATAGCTTCGAAAGTTCGCGTAACGGCCAAGGCTCCTCGCTCCAATGAGCAATGTTGCCCGTCCTCGTCTATCGGAAACCTAACGGTTTTCGGTCCTCATCAGCTTCTGTACAGTGTTTCGGAAACATCGCACAGAGTGGACACCTGAGGAGCTCGCTGCAGGGAGCTCCGACATCAGTGAGTTCGGTAGTTCTGTTTTCCTCCCGATTCGGACTTGTGATTCGTCCACATCCAACGATCGTGCGTGGGTTTATGAACCATCATCGACTGTTTAAGGACGCTGCTACCGGTGTAAACCAATACGAGCAGGCTTCTCATGACGTGAAACCGTGGGCGCCGGCATCTGTCATCTCGCTAAACAAACTTGCTTTACTCGTGTTCCGCATAGGATTCAATCGTTTCTGCCAGTGACTGAAGCTTCGATGTGTCTCACCGAATATTTTGTATCCCCTTCCAGAACCAATACCCAGCCGACCTCCAGCGAAACCTCCCCGACTCCGACACACCCAATCGGTCGTGACACTGACCACTAAGCATGAAGATAAACCGAAGGTGAGCTTAAGCACTGATGAATTCCCACTCTGACCGACATTGGACGGAATTTCGGGCTTTGACGGAGCTATCTGATGGGCCGGCAATCTCTCCCGACGGCGAGGGCGAGACCCCTTCAAGGTTGCGAATTCGGAGATTCCACCTGCTGCTATGGGTCTCTGAACAGAACCCCATTACTTCTAGTCGGGAAATAATCGACGGCATTGTACGAAGACGGGGTCCCCATTCAATCCTTGACACATCACCAGCGGCAGGGATTCAAAGCTCAGCTTGTTCGTGAACAGTCTCGACTACAGAGCTCACACTAATCCCCGCGAGCCCTGTCTGCTGGAGAAAATGAGTCCTGAGATACCATCCCGCTCGCTCGCTTGTGTTTTATGCGATACAGCATGTTGACGACTGACTGGGACGCGCTGAATTTGGAGAAAAAAACTCGGACGCCCGAGTCCTACGAGCAAATTAGCGTTCGCGATGAGTAGCTTTTTGTCGCCAGAAGAACCGGAGGAGAGGCGAGACAGCTAACACGGCGCGGACGACTAAATGCTAAAAACGACGAGCAGTCTTTAAGGAGTTCCACCATCCGCTGCTCGCAGCGACATATTTTTCGAGGAATTCCATTCGGCTCAGGATTTGAACGAATGATATATCCTCTCTTTTTCACAGACGGTGGATCTGAGTCGCTTGAAGTTCTCCCCACTAAAATTAGCCTCTTCCATGGACGGAGTTGAGATCAAAACTTTGGCTCATTTCGGGAGACCGATTGCTCCTCCACCGCAATGTGATCATCTACCGCCGAGTCCGAAGCCTGGTTTGCCGGAGAGATCCTACGCGGGACGCAAGCGCAGGAACCGACCAGGTAAGTCAGACTAATCGTTAATTTTCTGCGTACATAACCCAGAAGGCGCGACCCGCTCCGCAGAGCTGGGTTCCTATGGTACGGAATGGCCCATGCGTCAGAGATCTTCCGGGACACAAGTTCAATAATGAGAATTACGCTAGAATTCCCGATCTGATGAACTGGAACTCCGGAGCTCTCGCACCGAGAATCATTCAATCTCGGAGGTGCAGGAGGGACTGGCTTTTTGGCTCGACGGTCTCGTAAAATTCCGTCAGGGATCTCACTGTGAAGCCATCGAGCAAACATTTCATTGTCCTCAATGGACATTGATCGCTGAATACACACGCCGCCGCGCGCAGAAGGTTGTTCAGTGAGACCAAACACAAACCCACCTGCTGAACACCTGCATTCCCGATCCGAACTTTCTCTCATCCTCCTCCCTCACGTTCGCTCAGTGAGGAAGATTCTCGATCTGTCGAAGAGTCCGACATGAGCTCGAGGACGATATTTTTCAAATCGCGTGTGAAGGGACATGATTCTCTTAGCGTTGCACTTCGACACGAAGATAGGCGATCCTATCTACAGCAATTTGCAGTTCCTGAACTTCAAAGGTTTGTTCCCGATTAGAGTTTTTGCAATGTGCTGGAGCCCGTCGGAACTGATCAGCTGTTCTCCGAGGGGATTCAGCCAGTGTGCACCATCAACCTCTTCCGTCATTTTGGATCATGCGGTGATACAGTTCGAGGAACGAACAACCAGAATCTGCTCGAGAAAAGCGATCGATCTGCTGCAATCACACCTGGTCATGAGTTCAGAGGAGCGTCCTTGTGGTGTGTGGTAAGCAACAAACCTCACCGACAAATGGTACAGAACCTTCGCCCTTACCGTCGACCGAAAGGCCTCTTCTCGGTTCGTGGGCGGAGGCCTCAACTGATCTTCTCACCTCTGATCACTGATGTAAGACGATTTTGAAAAATAGATGTTAAAGTCGTTCGGGGATCATTGCTGGGTCGAGGTGCTGATTCGCGGATTCTGGAATGTTTCTGCAAAGAATCCGTTGAGGATAATCCGGATAGCCTATTCCGACGACGGATCTCTGAGCCAAGCGACTGTGATTAGAACCTCGCCCTGACTTCTCTAATCGATTATCTCTGATTGCACATTAACGGAACCTTCGTGATAGAGACGTCTCTTGCGTGATTTTCATAGAAAAGGTGATTGCGTTGTAAGTCGATCGGAGAACGCCGCAACTCTTCAGTGAACGAGGAGGCGTAACTCTGACGATATCGGTCCGGTGACTGATACGTTTCCATCGACAACGTTCAGGGAAAAATACGGTGACTGAAAACGAAGACGGCATGAATTGGATGGAGGTATCATTTCGTCTGGTTCATCGGCTGCTGCAACTACCTATTGAGAGCTGCTGCTCCTGGGTAGTTTTCAGACTAGCTCGCGCGCAGCTCTCCCCACGATTTCCATCTTTCCCTCACGTTACTTCATCACCACCGAATTACCGAACGACAGAGCGTTCACCGCAGACGAGCTCATTACTCAATTCCGCTGAACTGGGCCGAATCTGGACCTTCATGTGACACAGATCGGACACGGACCCGCTCATTTAAGAGCGATGGTGACTCTCATCGCGGATTCCTGTCAGGACAGCGACGAATTCTGTAAATGCTTAATCGAACCGGTTCCGAAGCTCTTGATCTCAGGTACGACAGCGAATTTTGTGCGCAGCAGAAGCGAAAAAGGCATGCCTGAAATTCGTTTACTGTATGTGCCGCGCCGTCGAGCCCCAAGGCGCCGGCGATCATCCACCGTTAGCGTGCGCCGTTATGCTCGTTTTTGCTACAAGAGCCGATACAGCTTCTGCCGTAGCCGCTCGGTGGCGATTCTGGTGCCGCCGAGCGCGGTTGGGAGGAGAAGACGACGACGGCGAACGGCGCACAGACCGACGCACAGAAAGAAAAGAGTCATGGATGCACCCGGGTCGGCATCTATTGCTCCTTGGCCGTCTGAATTTTCGGCCGACCGACCGGCCAGCCGCTTGTTCGCCCGCCCGCCCGGCTTCTGGTTCGGCTGCTCGGTTGGTTGTTTGGTTGGTCCATCCGTCGGTCGGTCGCTTGCTTGCCTGCCTGCCGGGTTGTCTGGTTCGCTCTTTCGTTCGCTGGCTGGTTTCTCGCGACTGCCTGGCGAAGGGCAAGGGAACGAACGGAGGACCTCTCGTCTCGCGCGGCGCTGCTTCGGATCGCCAGCTTCGAATGCTCCCGGCGAGCAGCCGATTAAGAGTCTCTATCGAAGAAATCGTCTGAAAAACACGGTTTCACGTGATTTCAGAGAACTTTTGCTCAGTTTTGGTTCGCCGCGACGTCAAGGATCTCCGTGAGCTTGTCCGTCGATCGTTTAGTTGAAATTACGAAGTGTGCAGTTCAGTGACTCGAAGTTCCAAGCAGCTTGACGTTCAGTCATCTGACAGCCAGAACCTCGAACGGTGCAGGACTATTCGTGCCTTGGAGTTTTCCGGTATAGCGTTCGCTCTACGGTTTACCTCCGGAGTACCTCTCGGTGGACTAGATACGAAGGTTCCCCGGAATCTTCTGCAATCTGGAAGAACCGTAGGCTTGCCACACCGATCGAATACGGGTCTCCCGTCCCAGGTGGGATCGCTCTCCGAATAAGTGAAACGCGGCGCCCGATGAATGTTTCGCTTCCTGGCCGGAGAGTTGAAGCACATAAAACGCAGCTCAAACAAGAAATAGCTGACGTTCACCGTTCCTTGTGTTCTGTGGCTGTTGTGGTTCCGTCATGGACTCCGTCCCAGCACCGTCCGACCGGTAGCTCACCGGCGTCGCCATGAGTTAGATCAGGATGATTCGATAGTTCGAAGGATACCAAGCCCGTGACAGCCATGGCGACCAAAGTCTTCATTTTGGAGAAATATTTCACCGAGCTTCAGAAGTACTGGGACACCGAGAAGCGATTGCATGGTAAAGTTGACCGAATTCTATTTGACTATTTCTCTCATTTCTACCCTTTTCAATCGAACGAAAAAGTCGGAAAATCCGAGTTTCCAACACCCCAGAGCCTGCCTTCTGTATGAACCGACTGAGACAAGGGCTCTGACATACATAAATATGTATACGACAGGAATTGATTTCGAAACCAGTCGGGGAGAGCCAACACAATCGGACTGAATCCAGAATAGAGTTTCGGCCAGGCTTGCTAGCAGACTGACTGAGCTCACGGGGTTGTCCGCCCCCGACAGCTTATTGTGTACTACGGCCATCTGGCTGCGCTCTCGAACCTTGGTTTTTCTGGTTGTTGGGTTCACTTGGTTCAGATAATCGGCGCTTGAGCGGCTCTATCCCCAAAGTGTCTGAGACCTTTCTTTTCTTGGCCCCAAAATCCTGACTGGAGCAAGACTTCCGGAGGCCGCCGACGTGTATTCTCACCGGCAGTGTAGAGCCTGATTCTGCTTCTCTGCTCGAAGCTTGGGCGGTCGTTTCTTTAGCGAAGTCCATCTCTCACTCTCGGCGTGCTGCAACTCCGCAGCGAGATGTGTGAATTGTTGAATGTGTGAGAAATATACGGCGAATCCGCGATGTAGAAGACATTGATTCATCGAGGATTTGGCGACTCATCGTAGCGCACTTAATTTTACGGGCGCCCCCACCTCGTGCAGGTGACGTAGCGAGTTGACTCGCTAGCGTAGAGATGACTGATTCTCGTCCTCGTAACACGGCGACCTCAACATTATGTATTATGATTGACGCAGTCGTGGAATGGATCGATGAATTCCCCCATGTATCCCCAATGGGGAAAGGACATCGCGCCCCAAGATAAAGAATTCGAGGGGAAACATGACACGCCCGCTGGAACCTCCGCCGGAGCCCCCTTTAAGATGGCGGATGGGGTCCACCCGTAAAACTCGAAGTCCATGTATTCCAGCGCGAGACTCGATGCAGAGTTTTCCGTACAGGTAGACTTGGCTTTCGTTGCCTCCATCTCCACCTGGGCCAAGAAGCCGGATGACGGGTCGTTCGATCGGCCGACCAGCAGAACGAGAAGCGAACGAGTCGCGTCTTCCGACCATCGTCGTCGTCGTTTGAAGGCAGACTTCTTCGGCGGCCCCTCGCTAGCTTCGAACGCTGTTTGTCATTTATCCATTGCTCGTCCCTCCTTCGTCCCGAGCTGCGTGGTCGCTCGCCTGTCGGTTTGTCCATCAAGCGTCAGTCTGTCGGTCCATCCATCTTTCTGTTTTTCGACTTCGACGGGAGACCTGGATACTCTGACTGGCTAAGAGACGCCACCATCGCAAGGATCAGCATTCTGCTTGGTGCAAATCGAAGCTCGTTGGCAGCTGCGATCTACTCATTCAATGCTGTTGATTTTGTGTGTAGAGGAAGGTGCGGCGAGTTCAACACGGATTAGACTGATGCGTAGCACCCACTATCTCAGCGCTCAGGATCAGATCCCTATTAATCAGCGAGTTGATACAATGTCTTGGGCTTTATCTCGACTCTGGTCGACCGTATTGGAAAAGATCCGTCGTTCTACGGCGCTCCCGCGGAACGCATCTCGCATACAGGAATTCCAGATAGCAATCGGAAATTACTCCGTGGAATTGGGATCGAGAATCGTAGGGCGATCGTGGTCGGAGGTTTTGTGTCACGAGCGCCAGAAGCGATATGACAGTCATTGGAAATCAGATCAGGGGCTGCGAAAGATCCTCAGTCAGAGTTTTCCTTCGGGCGAAAGATCGATAACCAATCGGTATAGATTCATGGATATAAGCCACGGAATCGGAATAATTTTCATCCTTATTTAAACCTTCTAGTCAGGAGGGGGCTATGATCCAGATTGATGCGGGTCATGAGCGATGCCGATAGACGAAAGCGACTATCGTCGGGCAAGGACTTCACCCCAACGGGCGAACATCGGTTCGAAATTTCTCGAAGGTCTAACCGAGAGAGCAGATATTATATTAAGTATCACAGTCGCCAATACTTCAGCCCTCACTTGTTCAAACGCCACTGATCAAAGGCGCCAGATATTCGTTATGAGTTAGCGGTACCGGCTGAAGACTGAGCTCAGTGAATGATTCGTGGAAAGTTTCCTTCTGACTTCTCGCATTTACAGTGACCAAGATCCAATCTTTAATCCGACCCCCCAACACGGGGTTCTACCGAAGAATGTTATCTCTGGCGGATCTCGGAGGCATTTCACAAGAGTCGAGAGCCGGTCAACGGGGAGAGAATCCTCAACGCGTGAAAGGAATTACCGGTCAACTTGAGGATCGGGAGATATCTTTCCGGCAACGAGGGGAATAAGGTCCCTCTTGGACTCGAGAATGAGAATCGGTATCTCGCAACATCCTTTTGGAGCCAACATGATTCAACGCGAACTTCGTCGAGATTCTGGAGGCTCAGAACCCGTCGGAGAAAACAAACCAACCGGCCTCTCTCGCCCGCCCGATTCCCCAACGTCGGATGCCTCGTAGGAACCCGCTGAGTCTTGCGCGTAGCTCTTCCAGGCTCTCAGATTGGCATTCCGAGAAGTCGAACATTCCGTGAATGGAGACCACGAGAGCAGAATGAGCGGGAAAGTCCTTACTCTCGGGACATTCCTGAGATTCCTGAGATCATCACCGGAAGGTCAGGTTCCCACGGACAGACTCCCAGTCAGTGACATAGTGAGCAGCTGCTCCGTCTTGAGGTCGTCTCGTTGATGTCGGGCAAGTGTTCTCGCTCAGGGGTTGGACGAGTGGAGATCCTTCGGATCCGTTTATTGGAATCATTGCACCGCCAAACATCGCGAAGCTCGAAAGCCACTTCTCGATATTCGGAAACTGAGTCGCTCGATGTCCCTGTCACGATGAAAATTGTCCCGACCCCCGCGGGCGACGCAAGCACGGATCTGATATTGACCGAGGGAGCCCATTTCAGGAGCGGGTAATTTCGATTCCGTTGATAGCTGCTGGTCAGACCGTCAGGGAAGCCGAACCAAGCATCATCGGAGCGACGCTCATTTCCCGATCGATGGAGCATCCGGTTTTACGCGCCCGAGAACTAAATTAGGCTCCATGTCGAAGCCATTTATACCAGAGGAGAAAAACGACGCAGCTATTACCGCAGACACGGCGGTTTCCCTGCTGATGATTCCTGTCCCTCCATGGCCTTCAACGTTTTCCCACCCCTCCCGATACGATGCAGGTCTGGGTCTTGCAGGACGTCCCGCCCCGGCCATGCGAGACACTTGTCGCCGCCAGATGCACCTTGCACTGCGCGCACTTGAAAAAATTCGCATTCCTCCAGGGCCAGATGGTTCCTGAACGACAGGTATATCTGCCTTAGCGGCCTGACAGCGGATAGTGGCGACTGGTTCCTGCCCAGCTGATTCGCGCTTCATTGAAAAACCGGCTAACGGATTGAGTATATCGCATCTGTTCCGAAATTCGATTCATCGGGACCTCCGATTGCCCGGTCGATTGTCTCAGCCGGTTTCTATATGACGTCAGGGAGGGGAATCTCCGATTCCTTTTCCACTGACATTCAGGTTGAGAATGCGGAATCGAGCCCTGCGGCGAGTCTCTCGACGACGGCGAGCTCCATCATGGAACTCCTACGAGATGTATGTCTCAGACCGATAATAGGACCAGTCGTAAATTTCTCCGACCGCGCGGGAAGATCTTGAGTCGACACTACTTCCTCGACGATCGATAGAAATAGCGAACATTCAGCCCAGAAGCCGAATTCCTCACCATTGTAGTTCTAATGTGACATCGAAGCGCCATATGCCCCCGGCGAACTCCGGTTCTGATATTCGCCCCGGGAGTGCGTTCTTCAAGGAGAGGTTGAGACTTTAACTGACCTCTATTCCTTTTGGCGGCCACTATGAGCTGGATCTGGCAGAATAATATCATGGAATGATCGTGAATTGTGACGAGGCTCCCGCAAGATCAATACGAGTATCCAAATCAAGCGATAGCCGCTGCTCGATCGCCAGAGCCATCGTCGGATATACTGGATAATGACGTCGGGAAGATCCGTCGTTTCCCTCGATCGCGGCGCGTTTCAAGGTGAAATACCTCACATCATTAGGTATCAAAGTTTATGACTCGGCTCCCAAACATGCGAGTCTGTGCGAGATGGGCCCCTCAGAACGGGCCAGCAACCTGTTCTCCGGATCAACCTGTGCGAGACTGCACGGTCCTCACCCGGAGAGAATATCAGAACCCCGGGGCTGGTGTTTTGTCCTCTGGCCACATGCTCTCGGCCACATGGTCGACAACGACGATTCGAGTCGATGTCATTTCGAAGAGCGCACCCAACTAGAGAACACCTACACCGTCGGAGTGGCTTCTTGGCCTTAGACCTAGTGATTCCGGCAGGAAATCACCGAACTGGGTTTACGTGTGAAGTTCTCAGAGTCTCCTCCAGACTTCAGTGATGGGCAACGGATCTAGTCAAGAGGTTCGGATCAGTGAGCCAGTCAAATACTCATCGATTCGTGTGAACAAAGTCATCCACAAGTCCACGCCAGGGAACTTCAAGCGTCAGCTGAGTAGAAGGTCCTTGAAACGTCGGACTTTGCGTCAGAGACCTCTTTCGACGTCCTCGATACCTCAGAAAGCCGACACTCCACCACTGAAGAAGATCCACAACATCAGCGGATACTACGAAAGTGGATGCCGAACGCTTCCCAGGGAAGTTCACGGTGTCAAGACCTCGCTCGGCACGAAAAGTGTTTCGTTCTCGAATTTGACGCAAGTCGTGAGATCACCAACGCTGTACTCGGAGTCGACGGCGTATTCGAGTTTCGTACCTCCGTTCGAGAAGAGTTTCGTTCGTTACAAGTCTCCGAACCCTGGTACGTTGGAGCGACGTTACAAAACTCGGAACAAAGAACGTTTCGATCTGATCGAGAAATCCCGGAGCCATGAGCGATTATGTGACGTCGACAAGAGCCCGAGTTATGAACGGGTCGA